CCCCTCTCCCAAACCCTGCAAAAAGCTCCCATCCTCCCCCATTTTGCAGACCCCACTCCCCACACAATCCCCTCCCAGAGTGGGGACCTGGTTGCGGAGCTTGGTCCTCGGGTTTGGGGCGTAGCCGATGAACCCCACTTTCTTCATGGTGCGTAAAATTTCAGGATCTACCGGAGGAGCTCGCCTGGAAAACACAGGGAGGGCTCAGAGGCTGCTCTCTGTTTGGCAGCATCGTCTGGGGACTTGATGGGGGCACCTGGAGACCCCCACTCAGTTCCCCCCACTCAGTCCTTCCCCCAGGACCTCAGTGATCATTTTCCATCGCACCAGAACACAGCAGAAGCGCCGAGCCCAGGGGTGTTTGGGACAAGGAGCAGAAAACCAAGAGTTTCCACAGAGGCAGAACCCACCACCATCTCCCCAGAGGTTTGACCATGCCCTACTGGCTTCAGACCTGCCCAGTTACTGCTCCCCAGCATTTAAACTCTGCTAAAGGGAACCTGTCCTGCGTTTCACAGGGCACGAGATGAGGAAGGTCAGTGCCAGGCACGAGATGGGCAAGGAACAGAGACACCCTCCTGCTGCTGAGACCCGGGGAGAATCATAGAATGGTCCAGGTTGGAAGAGACACTTGGGATCATCGAGTCCAACCATCTCCCCTACTCTACAAAGTCCTCCCCTACACCATGTCCCTCAGCACTGCATCTAAACGGCCCTTCAACACAGCCAGGGATGGGGACTCCACCCCCTCCCTGGGCAGCCTCTTCCAACGCCCGACCACTCTTTGGGTGAAAAATTCCTTCCTAATGTTCAATCTAAACCTCCCCTGTTGGAGCTTGAAGCCGTTCCCTCTCCTTCTGTCACTAATGACCTGGGAGAAGAGACCAGCACCAACCTCTCTACAGTGTCCTTTCACGGAGTTGTAGAGAGTGATGAGGTCTCCCCTCAGCCTCCTCTTCCTCACACTAAACAGTTCCAGCTCTTTCAATCACTCTTCATAAGATTTTATTCTCCAGCCCCCTCACCAGCTTCGTTGCCCTCCTCTGCCCTCGCTCCAGCACCTCCAGATCTCTCTTGGATTGAGGTGCCCAAAACTGGACACAACACTCGAGCTGTGGCCTCCCCAGTGCTGAGCACAGGGGCACAATCACCTCCCTACTTCTGCTGCTCACACTATTTTTGATACAAGCCAGGATGCCATTGGCTTTCTTGCCCCCCTGGGCACACTGTTGGCTCATATTCAGCCGTTTGGCAACTAGAACAAATATGAGGAAGAACTTCTTCACAGTGAGGGTGGCAGAGCCCTGGAAGAGGCTGCCCAGGGAGGGTGTGGAGTCCCCTTCCTTGGAGATTTTCAAGACCTGCCTGGATGCTCCTGAGTAACATGCTCTGGGTGGTCCTGCTTTGGCAGGGGAGTTGGACTAGATGATCTCTATGGTCCCTTCCAACTCTAAAAATTCAGTGAAATACAAAGCACCCGCTGGGTGGTGACTGGAGAGGGTCACGTCTCCTCGGGGGAAGGCAGAGACTGGATCCAGCCCTCGTGCTGCCTCCTCTGAGCCCCTTCTCAGCCCTCACCACTTTGGAGGAGGAAAACCCCCATCGCCAGCCCACCCGGTGGGGGGTCTGACCCATAGCTCTCCCCCAAACCCGGGGGGGTTTGGATTGAGGTGCCCAAAACTGGACACAACACTCGAGCTGTGGCCTCACCAGTGCTGAGTACAGGGGGACAATCACCTCCCTGGGAGGGAGAGGAACTCTGCCGGAGCCAGCCTTGCTGGTTTTGACTGGGAGAGACTGGGAAATTACCGGGGTGCCGGGGCGGAGTTGGCAGCGGGCCAGTCGGAGAGCAGGGCGTCGTTGGTCAACGGCACGGGGATGAGGGAGAGTGGCACAAGGTCCTGGTTCCAATCCAAGTGGGGCAACGTGTCCACCATGCAGGGCAAGGCAAAGTCGGTCTCCCGGGAGTAGGCGTTGAAGGTGACCTCGGGGGAGTCTGCCCAGAGGTGGACACAACCCTCCGAGTCCCCGAAAGCCAAGGCCTGTTTGCTGGCCGAGACGTCGAAGGTCATGATCAAAGGCCCAACGGTGTTCACGTGGAAGATGTCGGCGGGGTTGGCCAGGCCGGTGGGCTCACAGAACTGGCATTGACCTGTGTGAGAGGGACGTGGCACCAGGGAGCACGTGTCACTTATGGGGTCACCCTTCTCCCTCTGGGATTTGACCCTGAGCTCAGGGGGTGCTGGGGCTGTCACCAGAGGAACGGAGCCCGGCCCAGGGGAGGACACACGGCGTCACCCACCTGTCTGGGAGATGATGGCCAAGCGGGAGGTGTAGGTGGGGATGAAGCGGAGGAAGAAGGGGTCGATGTGGACCTGCAGAGGGGTGGTGGCCCTCATCATGCGCAGGTCGTACACCTTGAGGAAGCGGTCGCAGGCCAGGCCGTTCATTCTGCTGGAGAAGCCGCAGGTCACCAGCAGGTTTCCGTGGACGTCAAAGTCGGACAAGCTGCCCGAGTAGGCGTCGAACTCGTGCTCCACCACAAACGTCCGCAGGTCGCGCAGGGAGACCTGGAGAGGGGAAGAGATGGGGGCACTGGGGGCTACGCAGGGAGCTCCCCACTCCTCAGGAGCACTTTGGGCTCCAGGAAAAGCCAGACACCAACTCCAGGGTATCCCAGAGGGAAGCTGAGCACCAACAGGACCACCAAGCAGGACGGGGTTGGTGTTACCTTCCCTGAGGTGTGCCCACAGAAGAAGAAACGGTTTGACTGCCTCATGATGGTGATGCCAGGAACCTCCACGGTGTACTGGGAAGGAGGGAGAGAAGTGGGGTGAGCCCCAGAACCCAGCCCCTCCTCGCAGCAGGGAGCAGCCCCCCAGCCCGGCCCTACCTTCTGCGTCTCCTGGACGGTGTTGAGGTCTATCTCGACGACGTGGTTCTGCAGCCCGGCCACGAGCAGCGTGCTGGTGTCCGTCAGCAGGAGACTGTGCATGTCCTCAGACTCATCCATGCTGCAGGAGAAGGGAGAGGATGTCCCTCAGCTCAGGGAGGCAGCAGGGACAGCGGAGGAGGATCTGCCCTCACCCCAAATCGAGCTTTTCCACCCCCAAGCTCAGGGGCAGCTCCCAGGGGCTGGCACCGTCCACCTGCCACCAAGGAAAAGCACTCACAGGTAGTCGAAAATGATGAGGCCTCCTCGTGACATGTACTTCAGGTTGGTTTTGGTGAGGAAGAGGACGCCGTTCTCCAGGCTCTGGATCTGGCGGATGTCGTCGCTGCTGTTCACTTGGAAGGAGGAGTAACGCTCCAGCGTGGGGCCGAAGAAGGAGGTGGCGTGACCCTAAAACCAACCAAAAGCTCGTCAGTGCCCACCATGGAATGCCACACGGGCAAACGCCACGTTGTCCCTCAGGGGAGGGAGGTCATCGGTGCCTTATGGCCTCCCCCAGCCCATGAGGAGGGAATTTTTCACCCAAAGAGTGGTCGGGCATTGGAATATGTTGCCCAGGGAGGGGGTTGAGTCCCCATCCCTGGATGTGTTTAAGGGACGGCTAGATGGGGTACTGAGGGACATGGTGTAGGGGAGGACTTTGTAGAGTAGGGGAGATGGTTGGACTCCATGATCCCAAGGGTCTCTTCCAACCTCTATGATTCTCTGATTCTATGATTAAGAGACCCAGAAGTAGCTAACTTCGATGTAAACATCTACATAGCCGATGTTTAAAGTCTCTTGACATTAATGTTTTAAACTGGAAGATTTAGATTTGATATTAGGAAGAAATTCTTCACTCCGAGGGTGATGGAGACACTAGCACAGACTGCCCAGGGAAGTTGTAGCTGCTCTATCCCTGGATGGGTTCAAGGCCAGGCTGGATGGGGCTCTCAGCAACTTGGTCTGGTGGGAGGTGTCCCTGCCCCCGAAACTTGATGATCTTTAAGGTCACTTCCAACTCAAACCATTCTGTGATTGCAGTGCTAAATTTCACCTAGCTAAAAACAGCCCAAATGAACCCTGTACTTAGTCTAAATCAAGAATACAATTTCTGCCTTGACCCATCCCCTCTGTGCCCCAAACTGCTCAGGCTTTTCCCTTTTCAGGAGTAAAGAAGCAAAAGCTCCAGCAGCCCCACACACCGGGGCAGCGAGGAGACGTGGGGGGCACCGAGACGCTCTGAGACGCATCAACCACCACCGGGGAGAAGCTCTGCCCCAAATTTGAGGACTCTCTGGCTCAACCCCGCTTCCAGGTGGGGGGCACCTACCCCGTGGTTCCCGACCCACAGCATCTCTTCGTGCAGGTCGAAATGGGAGACGGAGACGGGCACCCCCACTTCGGAGACGGCGGTGTGGAGCTCGCTGTAGATGCCTTCCATGAGATGCACCGACTCGGGCACCGCCATCCCTTCCATGGGCACCCCCTCGGCATCCAGCTCCACGTTCTGCAGCAGGTTGGGGTTGAGGTGGTGGGGGTCCAGGACGGGGTCCAACGCTGGGTGCAAGGGGGGAGCATATTCGGCCAGGGAGGGGTCGAGCCCTTCGAAATTCATGGTGAAAACCAGCGTCGCCCTGAGGAACCGAGAGGGAACTGAGTCGGTCAGTGAGCACCACCGGGGCCCCCCCGGTTCTTAGAAGGCCCCGGTGACTCGGGAGGAGAGGGGGGGGCACAAAAGGTGGCTGGAATCCCCGGTGAGTGTAAGGTTCGACGCTCTGGCCGGGGACACCGGCAGCACCGGGCCCACGGGCCGGTAAAGTCCCTTCCCTGGGACACACTCAGAGCCCCGTCACGGCCGAAAGCCGCCGGGGGAGGGAGCCCGCAGCAGCCCCGGTGCACCGGCAGCCTCCCCCGGGGGACCCCGGACCCCCCCGGAGCTCGGAGCACCGGCCGGGCCTCCCTCTGACCGGAGAAACCTCCCCTCGCCCCGCCTCCCCGCGCCTCGGGAGGCACCGGGCCAGCTCCGCACCCGCCTCCTTTATCTCCTCAGGCCGGCACCGGACGCACCGGCGCTATCGGAGGCCGCAGAGCCGCTGCCGTTGGCGGCGGGGCGGGC